CAGGCAGTAACAGAACTGAGCCGCAGCAAGTACACATTAATCCGCCCTTCTTCATTGCACCGGTGAAGGTACTTTGGCTCATCGTTCACTCATCAGCCGGCGCGTCAAAGCATGCCAATTGCTCTACTTCCAATATCCACCCCCTCGCACACACGCTCATACGATGCCGCTTATGACACGTCAGTGATTTGGCATGAAGTGTCACTAATTCCACAAAACATATTGCACGCCTTCTGTGCCGCATGTTGCATTCACTCACTGCAATACCAATGTGCGAGTGTGTAGCAAATGTTGCAAGAATATATAGCGACAGCAACCCTATTACAATCGGGGTATAAAATATACATACATACTAAGTATGTATACAGCCCGATTCAATTGAATAGGTGCACGTATTTTCCCCAAGAGCTTATATCTGGACATGTGGGCATCAGAGAAGTTTCTTATTGACCTGATTTTGGTGGTTGAATCTAGTCCTTTCCTTGTGTTGAAGCCACTGTACCTTTTCAAGCGAATCAAAATAATTATCATAATTTTCGTGTAGTTTGATAAAAAGTCGAAAGAAATACCTAAGTAAACGAGGTGTTTTCTTCATCTCATGTTCACCACTTTTCTTCAAAATTAATCATTCGTCAAGACAAGACTACTCTGATGTCCACAAGTCCAGATATAACCTTGGATCTTGAGGAAAATATGTGTACCTATTCAAGTGAAGTGGGGTGTATGTAACTATGTATCTATGAACAATTTGGAATGCGAAGAACTGAACTGATTTACACCTTAAAATGACATTCGGAAATTTTGATACAATCAAAGAGTACGATTTCGACTTGGCAACGGCGACTGAATATTAGAAATACACTTTTTTTATGTTACTGCGGGAGAGTATTAAATTTTCATTGTTCATTCACGCAAATTCCACGCTATTTAAGAAGCTCAGAGTTGGTTTCACTCTATTAGGCAGTGAGCAATTTTCCGAAGGGTTGGCTGTCGAAGCATCCCTCATCTCGCTCGTCGATAGCTTTGTGCACCCCCTCGCGCCAATATTGCGCAATCTGTTCTATTTAATTTAATTATAATAATTTTACGCCTCGCTAACACTGCCACTGTACGCTACCAAGGGAATATGTATGTACATATATCCTTGTAACAGGTGAAGAGATTCCCATGCCACTGACTACTGACTTTTTATTATTTGCGGTCGTATGATTCATTGTTTACTAACAAGTGTAATGTTTTGTTTTCGTTTTTGGTTTTTTGCTGCTGCAGACAATTAGGTCCAGGGATTATCTGGTATATTTTGGAGAATCAAAGACAAGTTGATGCTAATAGCGATGATATACGGTTTGTACTTTAACCCTTTTTTGTAAAGGTGGTACAGTAAAAGCATAAAAAGACGGCAACGTTGATCCGCATTACCGACGTAGTTGATCTGATTGACCAATTTAGCCGGACAAAATTCATTGCAAAATTTTGAGATAATTCAATATGGTTTAAGTCAACAGATGTCCACTGACCTAAGAGAAATGCGATAATTTTTGTTTTTTTTACATAAATTTTGACATTTTTTTTACGTGCAGATGTGGGAGAATTAAAATTATATATGTACCTATTTGAAACGGAAGTGGTTTTAAAATTTACGCTTGATTGACAAAAGTGCATATTTTCTTTTAACTTTGTCGAAGTATACATTTGATAAAGAAGAACACAAAATTGTGATATCCTTTACTAATACTGCATCAACCGTACGCGTAAAGGGATCGGTTTTTATTTGGCAATAAATATTAAAACTTCTGTATGAAATGGCCAATCTAAAACGTTACACCGCGTGACACCGCTCTGTATTTTTTATATTGTTTACCCCGGGTATCTCACTTTACATATGCGAAGAGCTTAGACTTCGCACGAATTCGCATCTATGTATTTTAAGTATCTAAAGAAATGTAATTGTTCTAATCAGTCACCAAAGCGAGCAAGTGGCCTGGCAGTCTGGCAAAAGAGTAGATCAGCTCAAGCAACGAATGTTGCCAGAGTGTCAGACCCCTTGCTCAATTTGGTGAATACCACTAATGTAAGCAAATCAAATTAGCAGCTCTGCTCCTGCCACATACCCGTTTAATGTACCTTGAGTTACATAGTTATTAAAGTTATTGGTGAATTTCATTAATTGTTCGTGATAAACAATACTTTTTAATACGGTGCATGAATTTATTTTGGTAAATATTAAAAATTATACGAGAATTGCTAATAAACCGAAAAAATATTTTAGTAGAATGACACCAAAAATTATTTCAGTTCCCCGAATAGAGTTATCCGTAGTTTGGAAAAAAGTTCCAAAAGCTGCTCGAAAAGAGAATTAATTTTACTATATTTCAGTGAAAATTTATCCATATTATTATCTGTTTTAAGAGGCAAATGCCTGATTAATTTTGTATATTAATTAAAAAAGCTGATTGAAAGTAGTTCTGTAAGAGAAATTGCAAATGTGTGTATATGTTATGAAAGCCTGCAAATTGTATTTGTAAAATTATAAGCCATTAGAAGTTCGGAAGATACACTGGTTTATGTAGAGAAACCTCAAAAATTCCACTTGAAACCCTCTACCGCACATGCGGTGCGCAATAGACCCCCTCATCGATCCATTAAGTACTCGTTTTAAAGTGTTCCATAGTTTAAACACATAAAATAATTTTGCCCTGCTAACTTGTATGGGTCGCGCCACTACTTGTACATATGTACATATGTATCTCTCCCCTGCAGGAAATGTGTCTAACTATAAGCTAACTTTAAGTTGATTAGGAAGGAGCTAAATGTCACTATTATCTGTATATTTCTTTGACGAAAGCTAACTATATTTCTATGGCGATGTCCGCAAAATAGTCAAGGCTGGTTACCTCTACATTTTATGTAACTAACTTGTAACTACCTACTTTTGGACATAAAATATCAATAGGAAAAACAAAATATTTTTTATTTACTTTATTCATTTTATTACATTTCATATTTGTTTACATATTCTGCGTATTCGAACTGCGTCTTCCCTTTATTTGTCCTCAAGTCGAAAAAGTATTTGCGAAGTGCAGAATATTTAAATAGAAACGCGTTTAAGGAAAACAATCTCCTGCATTACTCGTCAACTAGTTTCAAGTTGGCTTTTTGTAGCTAACTACAAGTTATATATTTTATATAAATCCCGCAAAAAAGCTAACTACAAGTGGGTTATTTTTTCTCAGTTGATAATTTTTTTCTGCAGGGTATGCACATACGACCAGTTATGAAATGTCTATTATTTATTTAATTGGGATGTTTTTTGCTTAAGAAACAAATTCGTAAGCGAAGGAAATTGGTAACCGCTTACACATCCGTTTCTATAAGGCATTGCTTTAACATGGGCGTGTCCTTGACAGACGACTTTACAATCCCCGTAATGGGGGCAGTTTAGACATTTTAAATGATACCTGCACGTTTCCAATAGAGCGATTGCCGATATTGTGCTGGAGAACGTATTACTTTATAATGTCTAAATTGTCAAAGTCGACCGAAAGCCATTACCGCCAATGATATGCCCATGTTAAAGCCATGACATCCAGATGCGAAAGGTTAACCGCTTTTCGATTCAACATTTATTTTCGAGGTAGTCGTGTTTTTGCTGGATATGTACATTAGGGTGTCCAGGGAAAATGTTTTATTTCGGAAATTCCAAGACCCTATCCCCTAATTTTATTCGTTTTTATTCGAAATATTGCCTATTTTTATTGATTTTTTAAGGGTCATTTAGGGTTCGCGACCTGTCGATTTAGGTCAGAGAATAGGATTTTGTAGATTTATGAGTTTTTGAATGACTATTTTTGATTCGATTTCAAAGATCGAATATGAGATGAGAATAGGATATATAAAATTATATTGTCGGACTAGGCTTGTTGGTTTTCTCATCTTTTTAATTTTGGCCAACTATAATTTCTACAATTTCAAAATATGTACTACTATCTAAAATTAAATATATTTTCAAATAAACTGATACCTCATTTAATGCAATCGCATAAAAAGTTTCGAATTTAGGCAACTTATCTCAAATACGGCCTTGAATTTATATGTGTGTATGTTCCGGAATTTCAGATTTTTTGGGCAGTGTGGTTAAGGAGTTCATCAATATTTATTCAAAATTGTTATATACAGTCGCTCTTTAGCAAAGAAGTGGTTTTTCAGGAAATTTTAGGATAATGAGGGTAGCGCCGCCCACTTATATCATATATGTGTATCTCAAAAGCCGATCTCTACCAAAGAAAGGAAGACTTCCAATGTTCCCATTCGCAATTTACGTCGGTTCTCAATATTTTATGTAAGAATTACAAAATATGTCAAATTTGCTCCTTTTAGTAGAGCCCTATCTGAGCTAAATGATGTTCCTGATTTGGCGTTCTCCCAGCCTTTTAGAGCTGGAGTTCTACAGTCAGTACGAGTTTTTGTTCTAAACCTACCGTTCGAGAATGACCTTCGATATCCAATATGCATTTCGAACTGAGAACGAACTAATAACCAACCTTAGTTTTCAAACGTTCATAGTATATTGGAAAAACACTCGATATGAATTTGAAAAAAACATGAAAACCATAGAAACAAGAGAGAGTGTGAAATCCAGGGTTCTCGTTGGGAAATGTAAAAAAATCGCTCTCTCTCATAAAAATTTCAATTCGATAATGGGCGAAGGTTCAGTTTTCCTGTAGAATGGCCTAGTTCTCGAATCGAATAGTAACCTATTTCACATTTTATATCGAAGGTTAGACCCGGAAAAAAGATTTGTTTTCCAATAAATTTCGAATTTTTAACCAAACTCAAAGTTTATGGGGTAAATAAATAAAATAGAATTTCCCGTTCTTATAACAAATACATAGTGACAGCGTTAAGAAAACCTTCGTATATGTTTGGAGAAGAAATTTTTGAATAATCTCACTGCATTTATCGATATATTTAAATAGTTGAACAATCATCACTATCCACTTTTTTATTTGGTGATTAAAAAACAAAAACTACACATATACCAACAAAATGAAAACTGAGTTTTAAGGTAAAACCATTGCATATTCTCCACTGTCCCGGCCCCTTAACTTAAGCTGTGGCTATAGGGCGATACGAAGTCCCTTTGAAAAGCCGCCGGGTGGAGATGATGATGGCCCATGGCAGCCGGATGATGGTGTCCGTTCATGCCAGCATAAATTTCGGCCGATCGCTGCTTATGCGTCGGCATTGGAGCGCCTGTCAGGAGTTCGGTCATGAAGCCGATGTAGGTGATTGCCAGGCGTAGTGTTTCGATGCGCGATAGCCTTTTCTCGTAGGCGAATGTGGGAACTTTGCGTCGCAGCTTGTCGAAAGCTTCATTCAGATTGAACATCCGACGGCGTTCGCGAATATTGGCCGCTCGTCGCTGTGCCATAGATGCCACTCGCCGGCGCGTCTTCTTCGTTGGATTACCGTTGCTCGATTCTGAATTGTTATTGTTGCGATTGTTCGACGAACGCTGACTGCTGACTAAACTGGTGACCTGTGAGCGTTGCCAAAGGGCTGCGGGCAACATGTAAGGAAAAACGTAGACATTAACACGCGATACACTTGCATATTCAAAATTCTTGGTGTGTTTTAGAAAACTTAATGTCTTGCGGCAGTTACATAGGCGCAGATACTTTCACCAAATTTTAGAACGCGAAATCACTTCTTTATAATCAATAAAAGATTTGATTGAACTGACTTAAAATACTAACCTAAATCGGTGCACGGAAAACCCGCAATTAATTCCTGATATGGCACAATTGGAGGCGGCGGAGGCGCTTCCTGCCCCCATAAAGGCTGAAAGGGTACTTCCGGCATGTAAGTCGGGTCAGGATGGTGTTGCATTCTATACAACTCCACGGTTTCGACGGTTCGTTTTATCGCGGGCGGTGTATATGTCTTTATTTATGGTATGTATGTATGTATGTAGTTATTTTTTTAGTTCACTAGATTTCAATCACACCGTTTACTGTCTTTAATTTTACAACTGGACACTTTGGGCTTTCAAATACAATTCTGGTTGGAAGTTGAAATTGGAATGCTGCATATTTCAGCAGACACATCCTTATCATTGAAATTGCTGCCACACCACCTCATAGCATGCAGCTTCTTAGTGCAACATATTGCGGCGGCCATCTTTGTGGCAACGACAGCTAGTGAAAATCTGATTGGTGAATTCGACTAAAGGGATTTCCGCCCTTACAATTTGATTCTTATTACCGTGGTTGGCGAAATATTTGTAACCCCTATTTTATTTGCATAGCGGCGGCGAATTAACACCTAGGTGGCGCTCAGTAAGGCAAAGGTTGTTGTATTAGCTAACTGTGCGGTTTTTATATTTACTGCAATACTTTTGTTTAGCTTTCGCTTGGTGGCCGGACATGTTGCCAGACTACAGCTACTTATGCACGGTGGTGCATAGGCATTGTAAACACGGAACGAAAAATGACGCTGAAGATGGCACACCTACATACCAAATTTGGCAAGCGATAACGGAAAATCGTTCCAAAATACATCATACATAGAGATTTTTCCCGTCACAACCTTTTGAAACCTCATTTTGGGGACCTAAGGTTTAAAAAATAAAAAATAATCGACTCTAAAAGTCTTTATTAAAACTCGTATTTTGAAGGACAATTTTGCATTGTGTGTGGTAGTAACCGCTAGTTTATTTCATTTTGTAAATTTGGTTTCAAACGGTGAAAAATATGAGAAATTCGAAATGGATTTCAAATCATATTATATGCTAGAAAATGTCGAAATGAATTTGAGAAAAACGGGGTTTGCACATCTTTTAACCGGAGAAAAGAATTACTTGTTTATGTATCTGACTAATAAAGAGTTAAACTGATCCCAATGTTGATATTTATGTAAAAAAAAAAAAAATATTTGGCACTCAAACTTTTGCTAAGTGTTCGGCTGAGCTTCTAGCCGCAGCCCTTTGGCGTGCGTCACGATATTATTTATAACTCAGTTTTACGCCGCCACCAAACGGAAAATTGTTTTATGAGAAGCTTTTTTAAGGCAGGAATACTCTCTGAGTTTTGCCATTGCCTGCGGGGGCGACCGCTGCAGCGCTATTAGAAAACTTTTCCTAGTTTTAATGTTGCTCAGACCAGGGATCGAATCCAGGTCCTAAAGAGTAATAGTACGCACCTTTAGCAACTCAGCCACAGTGGCCGTCGATATCATTGGGCAGAAAAATAAGGACTAAAGGCGAAATACAAAATAAATTTTAGCTCCATGTAATTTGTGAAGCTACTCACTTTCCCAATGTATGTTTATCGCGGGGAGCCGTCATCAGCAGCGACATTTTTTTTCAAAATTTTATTTTTGAGGCAGAAATATTCCTAGGGCATCTAGATGTATTTCTGCATCAAAAAGAAAATTTTGAAAAAAATGCCGCTTACGTTATTTTGGCGGTTAGGGCTCGATATGTATATGATTTCATATTTCACATCAACGTACACCTGGTAATCAAGTACATAGTACATAACTTTCAATGCAAATTGGTGATTTCTACATACATACATACATACAAACATACATACATTGTATGTGTGATTTTTTTTTTTTAATCAACTAATTGATTAAACTAATTAAACTTTAAAACAAATGCAATGAGTAAATGTTTCGAATTTTTATACGCTTTTTACTCAAAAAACCAATTTGTGTCTTGGAAGTATGAAAAAGCATCTGTGAAATCAATCCAGAACGAAAGCGTAGCCAAGCGAAACATACTGACTTTGAAGTTGTGTAAACCAAATTCAATTTAAAGTAGTTAAATGCACAGTCGGACAGTCAACTTGCTGCTTGCACACAATTCAAACTCAACATTTGAAAGCACATGCACATACGTGTACATGTCTGGCTGTGGCTGAGCGTGCAATGATGTTTGCTACAATTGGTCGTAGCCAAGAATGTCTATGTTCAAATCTCATTTAATTTTTAAATTCTTAATTTCGGTTTTTCTTAGTTATGAAAAATCATCTGTGAAGTACAGAGCGAAAGCGCATTCAAACGAAACATACTGACTTGGAAGTTGTTTAAGCTAAACTCATTTTAAAGTAGTTGAAAATACATGCAGGAAAAGGCAATTGACTGCTTCTAGGACATCGCCATGTTAAGTAAATGAGTTCGTTGCAGGTAAAATAGTGAGAATTATTCAATTAGTTATCATTGAAAATAAAGTAGTTTATAAATTATTTTCGAACTAATTCAATTGCCTACAGGGTATTCACTGTTGTTTGCCTGTGGTGAAGCATTGTGGTATTGTATTGAATTGGCTCTCTAGGCAATCTGTGGTTGTAGAAATATTAAAATTCCCCTTCAGTTCTGTGCAATTTCACCAAACATTCACAAAACTAAACAAGCAGACATTCAAATAAACAAACTGCTTTACATACATTTAGACAAATGTACGCCTTTTAGAATTAATTCCGCTGCCGTACTGACTGGCAAATGCGTACTTGCTTGCTTACGCATTTAGTTAGGTATTTAAGTATGTCTGTATGTATGTAATTAAATGTAAAAGCGTAAATGCATGTAATTCACTTTGACCGAAAGCAAAAGCACACAGCCATCCACACACACACACAACATCCATCTTGACCCAGTAATGCGCCTTAATGTAGGCTTCGTGCGTGTTTGCTTGTAGTCGCCCCACTGTTTGCTGGCGGCGATGCTATATTGTGGTGTTGAGCCAGTGAGTCATGAAAGCGGAAATCCTTCTTCCGCAGTGCGTGAAGTGCAGCATTTGCAGCTGCATTTATGCTGACATGCTTTTCTCTGGCACGGACATTTTGCTTGGTACAGCAACCGGCAACACTACAAAACAACGAACATCTAACTAGGCACAACAAAAATGCCGTTTAAAGCCGCAGCAACAACGTCATGCAAGTGTTGCAGCTTGTGCTACAATCGATAAAATAATGAATTGCTTGCAAATTAAAATTGCAGCTGAAAAATTAGAATGAGGAATGAGGACCTTTGATGCGAGTTCAATCAGATGGTTTTCGGCTTCGGCGCAAATGAATATGCATATGTATGTATGTATATCTGCAGGCGTTTTTCTACCTATGCAACATGCAAAAGGCCTCGCTATGCACAGAAAAGCCATCAAATTAATTGCTTGTAGTTACATACTCCTCAAACACATCGTAGGTATGTATCTTGATAATTTTGCTTATGCATTCAGAGCATCGACTATCACTCAGAAGAAGTAAATTTTCAATGCGACATTCATTTATTTTACTACCACACTTATAGCTTGTTTATGGCATATTTCGACTGCTTGGGCAGGTATACATACATTGATAAATATCTACTGTCAAATGCATCCCTGTGTCACAGAGAACTTGCCTTGGCCTTAAATTGACAACACAGCGCAGG